CGAGATCTGCTCGTACTTCGGGGAGCTGTTGACGTCATCAGCGGCATTGTAGATAGGCTAGATAGGATCTGCCATTTGTAGTCTGGGCGCCGAGCACCAGATAGGATGTGGACATTGGTTCGTTGTTGATGATGATGAGACTATTCGAACATTGTCACTTATGAGCTTTTGCTGTGCTCTTATTTGGTGGGACTCGTGATGCAATTCTGCTTTTGGTTTGAGGTCACGACTATCTGGTCTCATGTGTATGATGCTGCTTGGTTTCTGAAGTTTGCTATCACTCATTTTCCTTGCAATGTGGTATCGGAGCTGTGGTACGTTGCGCTCATCTGGCGCTTGTCTTCTGCCTATGTGGTACATGAATGCGGTCTGCTGGGTGGGCGGCTGTAGGGAGTGTGTAGTGAGGAGGGCGAAGGCAAGCAGGCGACCCAGGAGGAAAGGGGATCGCCAGGAAGGCTACGTGGTGAATATTGGGTGTTCGCAGTGTGATGAGAACTATCTGATGTGCGATTGCTGCTGAGGTGGAATGGCGGTGTAATGCTGGTTGGGCCGAAGCAGCAATTGGTCATCACAATCGACATCGGGTCATCTGGTGAGAATATCTGTGGTTGGGGGCAGCTGTTTTGAGGTACGTTGCACCTAACCTTATCTACCCTCTTCGACACTTCTTACCGTGAGGATGTGTGTTCTGCCTTGAGAGTCCTCTCATGTGAGGAGTTGAGTGTGCTCAACCTTGAGAGTCGTCAGTATTCACGTGGAGCATCTGGAAGAAGAGGGCGGTGCTATCTGAAGGGCCCTGGACGAAGCATTGGGTCACAGTCACCATACCAACCCACCAGGAGTAGAGCACGCATGCTTTGCTGCTTCGTCCTTTGTCTGCTCGCTGCGCTATAGATGGGTTATGAGGGGCAGGCCAGCCCTACGGGAAAGACGAGTACCGGACGTCTATAAATAAGTACCGACGGGGACCTTCCATTGGCTGTGATCGTTTTCCTGTGTACGATGTTAAATAATTCCTGAGGACTTCGGGGGCCGTCCATAAAAACACCTCTTGATCAGCCAATCGGTCGATGTAAGGCTCGCTGCACGTGAGGATAAATATTGTGCAGGGCTGGCCAGCTCAGTAGGACTCGAGGCACAAGGGTGGGCCGTGTGCACACCTTTAGACACGCACGCTGTTCTGGATTGCTCAGGGACGTTGACGACAAGAGACATTCAGGAAAAACTGAG